GAGGATAAAAATAGAGAAGCTACATGGAGATCCAGCTAGGAAATAAAAAAAAAAAAAAAAAAAAAACTAGACAAAAGTGATGACCACTCACACCTGCCCTGTTTGTTCAAATCAAATCATCATGTAGAATAGAGGCATAATCCTAGCAATGTCTAAGTGAGGGAAATTCTAGTCTTTAATTGTTTCAGGTGGACAGGAGTGTTAAGAAAGGAAACTTATAATTAAGTTATGAGAAAAATCCTTCAAAATGATGGAACCTAATCATCTACCCTTTTCCAGACAAGCAAATTAAATTCTTTCCCCATGCATATCTCTAAATTGCAATCCTGTATAAGAAAATTATTGAATCTAACCTTAGGCAGTGGCCATCTTTTAGAGCTTACATTTAAGCAACAGATCTCTAAGAATTAATTTTGAGACTGACTCCATTTCTTTTGAAGAAATGGGTCCCATGCTGGAATCAATTTTTCAAGTATATTTGCAAATGAGTTAGGATAACTTCTCTGAGTAGATGAGTCTCTATTAGTAAAATACACATTGTGTGCTTTTCATAATTATAGCATCACATTTTCTCCAGTAAATTTGCCAGTAGGGGTAAAAAAGTTTCTTGAACTGGTGTATAGAGTCATTTCTTTTTTAGAAATCAAAGACTGCTACAAGCAATAGCTATTTTAGAACTCAGATAACATTTGAGGAATACTTATTAGTTAATGGAAAAATTTAGTTTAATTGTAGGAGAAAAAATACATTTCTTTGAGCTTGCTTGGACATTTTCCAACCCAGAAATTTAGAAAATCAGGAATTCTTTTAAGGAAGAAAATAACCCTTGGCCTTTTCTTTCTTTGTGATTGTATCTCCAGAGAAGTATTTGAGCTAATTTTGCTTTCAGTTACTAAATTACTGGTGACCATGTCTACATTATCAACAAAGAAAGTTCAAAAACTCCTTTCAAACAACTTATCAATCAATCAGGAATATCCTATTCAGTATAACAAAATAAAAAATGTAGAACAATTTTGTATTCTGATCCTACTCTGATTTATATATGTTAATAACCAAATACTACAATCGGAAAACATCTTAGAACTGTTTATTTCTCTCTATGGTACTTTTTCTCCCAAATTTAAAAGGAGACAAAATAATTTTAAAATATGACTCCAGTTTTGTTCAGTGCATGATCAAACATTTATTCTGCAAATGATATTTTATTGGAATTAGTCATTTTTTTTTCTGACAACAATAAGTTATTTTGTTTTTTATAGTTCACAAGTAATAAATATGAGGACCGAACTATCGTACAACATTCAAGCCCTTGCAGTTTGGGCAAATATATGTCTAGCAAGAAAGTGAGTAATGTAATTCCTTATTTTTCTTTTGTTCATAAAGTGAACCAGTGTTTTAGCATGTCATTGCAGAACATTACCGGTATTGTTTTATGTTTCAAATAAATGACTGTTCTTGCTTTCTGTTAAGGCAAATATGTTTTGCTTTCCTGATACCTTATTTTATCTTCAATTATAAATCAATTATTTCAAAAACCTTATCAGTTTATTGCAACTAAAATAGGCAAGTCATGTGATATTTTAAACTTCTGATTTGATCTTACTCTTCGTGTACTAATGATTACTGTATATGCAAAAGAAGCAAACAACTATTTATTTATTTATTTTTATAGTATTAGGCATTAAACCCCTGCCCTCTGCCACTGAACTATATCTGCAGCCCTTTTAAAAATTTTTTAAATTTATATATAGGGTTTCACTGTGTTGGCCAGGCTGTCTCCCTCCTGAGCAACTTCAGGCATGCATCAATACATTCAGCACAAACAACTATTTAAATTCCCCTGATAATAAAAGAAAGCCCTAAAAATATAGCACTGCTAATCTTTATTAATTTTTTATTAATTTATTTTCTTGTCTGTTGAACATGTGTATTTGTATATAAGTCAGTATATGTATGTACATCTATATTTATGGTTTTATTTACTTAATGTAACATTATATTGTTAATATTTTTCCATACCAAAAAATATTTAAGGTCATTTAAATGTCTACATAATACATTCCATCCTATGACCAAAGGAGAATTAAATTTCCCATTTGAGTGTTATTTTATTGCTTCCATTTTTTCCCTCTATTATGACACTAATACTAAAGCATTTTTATGGGTTGTTTATGCACATTTGTGGGTTTTGCTTAAAGATTTATGCCTGAATGTCAAATATTCAGTTATTTTGACACAAAGTCAGTGATTATAAGTATTTTTAAAGCTCTTGATAGAGATATTATGTAGTTAATTTTTCTCAAGGATTATACTAACATTCTCATACTAAATTCTCACCAACATTGATATAGTATTTCAGGCATGAAAATATGCTATATTTTGCATATGCTTGATTACTTCTTAAATTTAATATGATCAATAGTTGATATTTTTTCTGTGAGTATCCTTTGCTGCATGATTCTATTGTCTACAACATGCAATTTGAATAAACTTAAATTGCAATTATAGAAAATTATTATTTCAAATTATATATTGAAATATATATAAATATATATATTTAAATATAAGTATATATATTTCTGAGTTCTATTCCAACTCAGATTTCAACACTGATGACTTTCTTTCTTCTTAAAAATGAAAATTTTATTTGGGTGTGGTGGTGCATGCCTATAATCCCAGCAGTATGAGGCAGGAGATTCATAAGTTCAAGGCCAGCCTGAACAGTTTAGGGAGAACTGGCTCAAAATAAAAGAACTGCAGTTTAGTTTTGTGATAGAGTGCCCCGGACACAATCCCTAGTACTGCCAAAAAAAATTTTAAAAATAAAAAAATAAAAGGTTTATAGTTACAAATATTTTTCTATAGTTTAAAGCTATTTAATGTTATTATTGATATTCATACATATAGATAATTTTGGACATATTTTTATTCGTTTTGTAGGGAGAGACAGAATTCACCATTAGTGTGGCTTTTTACTGGAATGTTTTGCATTTATTCATTGTTCTTCGCTTGGAGGGCAAATTTAGATATTTCAAAACCACTGTTCATGGGTGTGGTAAGTTTTACTTAGATACATCCTTTAATCAGAAAGTTTATGAAGATCGTGCAAACATGTCTCTTATGAACTTTATAAAAGAATGAATTATTTCAGGAATAATAAAAATTATATATACATTTTTACAAATCAAAAGTTAAATTATTGAGCCATTAAGATTACGGCCTCTTTTTAGGGAAAAAAAAATGCTATGTTTTGTTAATAGAGTAGTTAAACAGGAAAATAAATCTAAGGTAGACTTAGGTTAGTTGTGTGTGTGCATGTGTATGTGTTATATGTGTATACACTTACAAATATATGTATTTCATCTAGAATATTTTTTAGAATAGCAAAATAAATATGGGTTACAACGAGGGGCTGTTGCCAACCTATCCCTTTACTTCTTACTTGGAAGTTCTAGGCCTGTAAAAAGAGCATCTATGTTTCTGTTTTCCTGTCAGCCATCTCTGAGATTAGGGTATTTCTTCTTATAATAGAAACTCTATAAATTTGGACAGCTTTTTTTGATAGCTGAAACCAACTAGTCATTTGTGTATGTGCTTAAGATGCCTAATAAAAAATGACCTACTTGATCATCAGACTTGGGAACAAAATAAATTAGTGTAAACGGTTAGGAGAATCACATTTATTACTGATAATGCTGAGATTGGAGAATGTGACTTCTAAGTGTGGGCAAGAGGACTTCCTTATCCTGCCAGAGGGGACAGGTAGTGCTGTGACTATGGGGCAGGCCTCACCCCTCCTCACTCCTACCCACTGTGCACAGAGATAGACTGTCCTGGACAAGTGCCTGCTTCTTGGCAGCTCACTTCCAAGAGGGAGAGGAAAACACAGGACTGTGTTGTCCCAATAACAGTTTCAGCTTCCCATCAATTCAGTTCCTACCCTCCTATAGGAAGAAGTAAGGGAGGGTAAGGAGAGAGGCCAGGATTATTATACTCATATAGCTTATGCATAAGGAAGGGACTATTAGGAGAAAAGCAAAAGCATTTCTCTACCTCTCCCACTCTAGATAATCACTGGAGTTCAGTATTAAGATGAAGTGTGAATCCCAAAAGGGAGACCCACATGTCAAACTTGGAAGGAAGAACTGTTCTAAATTGAAAATTTAAGTGACCTCAGGTTGGATTGGTGAAGTCAGTTAACAAGATCTAAATGACAGGAGGCAAATACAACTAGTTGTAAGCAGTATAAATTTTTTAAATATTTAGGTACCTGACTGATTATATGAACTAGTCAAGTGGACCTACTGTTTGCCTATCTTTCACAGGTGGAACGATTTTGGATGCAAAGCAATGCAGTGGTGGCCGTCCTCGCTGGCATCGGTTTGGCTTCACTTGTGTCTAAGACTAACCAAGTGCTGAATAGCAACGGGCTTCAGTGTCTGGAATGGCTTTCAGCAACTCTTTTTGTAGTTTTCCAAATATATTCTAATTATAGGTAACCCATGGCTATTTTTATGAAAAGTAGCACTTGAGCCAGAGAATTTTGAATATTTTACATTCTAGGACATTCTATTTTGCATTTATTTTTAACTTCTATTGGTTTCTAAGATTCAAAGTGAGGCAGCTTGGTCTGAATGCGGTAGATTTTATGTTTGGGGATTAATAAGCTTTTTGAATCAGAACCAGAGATTGTTTGTAGCATCTGGAGTATGTATAAAATTACATGATCTAAAATACCACTTAAGTGGGGAATAAAGAGATTTGGGGCTTTTTGTATACCCTAAAATAATTTATGTTTCAAAGATTTTTGTCTTTTGAATTATAACTGGCCCTTTACCAGTCAACTTTATATTAGAAAATATTAATTATTTTTAAATAAATTTCTGAAAGTTTTTAACTCATGTATTATTAGTATTGTATATATATTTTTTCAATATCTTTTTAATAATGATGATAATGATCTCTGTATAACATAAAAGATGTCAAAGTCTTAGATGATAATTAATTTATTTCCAGCAGTATTAGATACATTGCAAAAGTAAAAGAAAGAGTCCCTTGGCATTTTGTTATAGTGAGATTTGACTGTATTTAAAGGATTCAGTTTTCTTCTGGGTACAGTGATTGTGATTGGGTACGGTGTCATGCTTGTGATTCCAGTGACTGGGGAGTCTAAGACAGGAGGATTGCAAGTTTAAGGTTAGCCTCAACAATTTAGCAAGGCCCTACATATCTTAGTGAGACCCTGTCTCAAATTTAAAAATAAAAAGGGGTGGGGATTATAAATCAGTGGTAAAACACCCATTGACTTATTCAATACCCAGTACTTCCCCCCTACAAAAAAAGGTTAAATTTCCTCTTTTAACTTAACTTTCAAAATCAATGTTCTTTATAATCCCAGGTAGAGCCTGTGCTAGGAACATTTCATCTTCAGGACATCTTGGGAAGGGGCTGCATGACCCAGACATAGCTCCATCACTAGCTCAAGGAGGGCTCACCAGCCTCCAGTGTTTTTTAATTCCAATTTTCTCCTGGCTTGGGTCATCAAGAGCATTCCAGGGTCAGCACCAGAGATGTTTGCACAGGTTAGGTGGTTTATCTTGTTTTGATTTTTTTATTTACCCAAGGGAATGAAATAGATAGCAACTTTTCTGGTTGAAAAAGTATGAGCCATCACCTGGCAAAGTAGGAAATCATAGTAGGAAATAGTAAATGTTGCACTGATTGCAGAGGCAGGGATAATATTCTGTTCCTTGAAAGGTTTGTTTGCTTTTTGGTACTAACCTTGTGATTCAGCTTGAGGCATTGCTTCTAAGCTCCATAAAATGTAATAGACCTGATAATAAGAGAAAAGATATTGCTTGCCTCATCTTTTGATGCTTCCCCTGCCCCTTGTAGTCTTTCTCTCTTTTCATGGAAAGTTCTCAAAATTCATGTACTTTTTCTTTGAAGTTAGAAAGTCTACTTCATTCTTGAAAAGAATTGTACTGCTGTTCTTGGCAAGAACAAATAGTGTCAGGAGAAAAGTAGACAACTCAGCAGACTATTCCTTCCCTTCCTTCTCTTTGGTCTTATTCTCCAGTGGTAATTTTTCACCTTCCAGTGGAGAAAGGAACACAGGAAGCCTGGGGTTCAGGGAAATGGTGGGAAGGAACAACCTCTGCATGCAAGAAAATCATACAAATGTCTTATAAATATATGTCATAAATTGGCAGATTTCCTTTTGCATTTCTGAAAGTTCCTTTGGCATAAATGAAATTAACATAAATTACCTTAAATTCCAAGTGGAATCAGAAACCTTACTTTTGTTATATGAAATCGGATTACTTTTAGGAAGAAAAAGACTTATTCTTGAGCACTAACTGATTCCCTTTTTATGGAAATGATTATAAATTCTAGAAGTAAAGTAGTAGATGAGTGTTTTTTCAGTTGCACAATTGGGTCCTTTTTTTAATCAAATGATAGTGTTTTTTAATTATGCAAATTCTCATAGGATATAAATTAAATAGTTTGAAACAATAAATGTAGATTTGTGATAGGAAAAGAATGGTTTGGAAAATAAACCCAATGTTATTAAAATTATAGCAAAGTATTGCTATTTTAACATTTTTGATCTTTTTATTTAGCATTTGTGACCAAAGGACCAACACTGTGATCGATAAATTTGCAAAGAACCTTCTAGATTCTATGCCACATGATGCAATTATCTTACTCAGAGGAGATTTGCCAGGCAATTCTCTCCGTTATATGCATTACTGCGAAGGATTGAGGCCAGATATTTCATTAGTGGATCAAGAAGTAAGTATATGTAAAATGTATTTGGAATTTATCAATCATTTTAAAACATTTATTATCATTTTTAAAATACCAAATAGATACAGTGATTATAATCATTCTTAGGTAGATTATATATCACATTCTTTTGTTTATTTTAATTGTTAGTATTGTTTGAGTTGCTTCTTTCTCATTTAACCTGAATGTTTTAAGAATTATGTATTTCATGTTAGATTCAAATAATATGCTAGGTCTCCAGTTCACATAATAAACCATGAAAATGTTTATTGTACTGTAAATGTATTGTTAAGTTGTTTTTTTTTTTTCATTTAGCCAACTCAGCCATTTAAAGTAATACTGTCTACTGGTCTAGGGATTAAAATAAATTAAATTGAATATAAAATAAAACATACTGTGGTTAAAATAGCTACTTGATCATCAGAGTTGTGAACTCAAATAATTTCTCAAAATAAAAACTATTAACTACAACTCTGCTATGGAAATTTTGCATAATCTTTGCTGATCCTAGGACAAAAACATGTTAGGAGGGGACTTGTAAAAATTTTGATGGCAATTAAAACAATTTTCTGGAAATGAAGAACCATATTTAAAACACAACATTTGGGGTTAGAGTTGTAGCTCAGTGACAGAGCACTTGCCTAACACGTATGAGGCTCTGTATTCAATCCTCAACACCACATAAAAATAAATAAGTAAAATAAAAGTATTGTATCCATCTATAATTAGGAATATAAAAAATACTTTTAAAAACCCCTACAATATTTATTATTTAGACCATAATTATCTAAAAGGAAATAAATCTGGTGCTTTTAGAGTAGTCATCAAGAAAAGTGAAATTTTTAATCTCAAATGAATAATTATGATTGTTCAATAGAGCAATTATTAGGCACAATACTTTTAATAAATTGTGTTGAAGTAGAGAATAATTAGAATTTTTGGAGAAAAATAACACATTTGCAAATACTTTGTAGGGAAATTTGCAGATTATAAATATTTTATAAGCACTTTGCATTTATGTTATACACACACATATTGATGAATTTAATCTTAAGTCTAATTCAAGTCTAGCTTCTGACAAAAGCTAGGTTATTCATTAATAATGTGGTAGATTATTTTTTGATAACATGATATTATTATGCTGTGATTTTAAATATTATTTGTAGCCCAGTAAAGTGCTGCTTAGCATGTATGAGGTCCTGAGTTCAATTCCTAGCACTTGTGTGTGCATGTACATGTGTGTGCATGTGTGAATACTGTTTGAGATATCAGCGGCTATAGTTAAGAAGTATGGATTTCAAAGAGTATAAGATATAAATTCAGGTTTTCATTCTATCATTTCCTAGATGTGACAGGGAATAACAATTTTCTTCTCAAAGCTTCTCTTCCCTTATGCATGAAATAGAAGTTATTATTCTATAAGCTAGGATCTTTTGAATGCACGAAAAAAGAATGCCTTAGAGTAACTTAAACTATGGAGTTTATATTTCACATAACAAGTAGTCTTAGATAGGTGATTTTAGGGTTGATGATAGAAGAAGCTCAATAATGTCAGAATTCTGGGGCATGGATGCACGGTTCCAAACATCACAACCTAAAACAAAGCAAGGTACTTCTGTTTGGGCCTGTCCCCCTCTTCTCTATTGGAAGTTTTCCAAGGCCTTAGAAATTCCCAGCAGACCTCCACCAGAGCTGGCTCGTATGCCCACTCCTGAAATATTCACTAGTAAAGTGAATGTCTGAGATACCTGAACAAAATCAAAGTTACTTTAGCAAGCAAGAAGACAATAGCTGTTAAATGTGCAATCAACAGGGTCTGATGCAATTGTTTCTGTAAAAGAAGGTTATTGTGGAAATTAAATAAGAAGCATGAAGGTCATAATGCAAACAGGGTATTTCAGCTTTTTGCTGAAAGCCTTGAGCAAAAAATTCCAATCCATTATTTGTTGAGTTTTATAGTGTTCACTTAGATTAAAAGTAATTTGTCACCAGGCCTGGTGGCGCACACCTGTAATCCCAGCAGCTCGGGTGGCTGAGACAGCTGAGACAGGAAGATCTCGAGTTCAAAGCCAGCCTCAGCAATGGTGAGGAGTTAAGCCACTCAGTGAGACTTTTTCTCTAAATAAAATAAAAATAGGACTGGGGATGTGGCTCAGTTGTCGAGTGCCCCTGAGTTCAATCCCCAGTACCAAAATAATAATAATAATAATAATAATAATAATAATAATAATAATAATAATTTGTCATTTTCATGTTAAATGACTTACATGATCTAAGTAAGCATAAGCACAATTGCTCAGATGTTAATATAAAAACAAAACTTTGAAAGTGCAAATAGGAATCTTTTCTTTAAAAAGAGGGTCTCTAACATATGAAAGTATGTAATTAACTATACATTAATTATACAATTAATAAAAGTGATTTTTCTAATATTAATAATTCATTTTAATCAAAAGAACATTAAAGTATTGACACTAATTTCTGTATACTAATAAATTCAGCCAAAGGGGTTAAAAACCCTTTGAGACCTAGATTATCATATGATTGAGGTTTTCAAGGGCAGGGATTATATCTTATTTATTGTAGGTAAGCAATACTTATTTTTTTGAATGGATGAATGAAAGAATGGAGTAATGATACATTTCTGTATTTTGTATAGGTTGTCTAGTCTGACCATCAAAGAAATTTCAACTTCAGCAAGCGTAATTTGAGAACTGTTCTGTGCCAGGCAATGTGCTAGGTGTACAAAAGTGAAAAGATACAGTCCCTTCCCCTAGGAGCTCACAGTCTAGTGAGGAATAGGCCTAGAGCTGTACTAGAGGTAGGTACAAAGTGCTACCTCTGCATGTCATTCTGGCTGTGGAGACTGGGGAGGGCATCACAGAGGAAGTGATAATTATACTGGTTCTGAAAGCTGAGTACACATTCTTTAGGTAGAATAAAAATGGGGAAAAACCACCTGGATCATCAAACACATGGAGGTTAGAAGGGTGAAGTGGCTCACACCTGTAATCCCAGCTCCTCAAGAGGCTGAGGTAGGAGGAGGATCACAAGTTTAAGACTAGCCTGAGCAACTTAGTGAGACTCTGTCTCAAAATCAAAATAAAAAGATTTGAGAATGTAGCTCCGTGAGAGAACACCACTGGGTTCAACTCCCAGGCCCACAAAACAAAATGCATGGAATTGAAAATAAAACTGAGCATTGATGTTACCTGTTACAGTCATGTCTTAATTTTTAAAATTGTAGCTATACCCTTGATTATTCCTAAATGTATTTTTCAATTATTGAATGATAGTATATTCACATTTTAGAAACTTTTCATTGGCTAAACTTGGTTCTTTTAAAGAGATGTACTAAAAGTATGGCATCATATGTTATTTTTCTGGCAGATGATGACTTATGAGTGGTATTTACCGAAAATGGCAAAGCATTTACCGGGTGTTCATTTTCCTGGGAACCGGTGGAATCCTGTGGAAGGAATATTACCCAGTGGAATGGTCACATTTAATCTTTATCATTTTCTTGAAATAAATAAACAGTAAGCATTCTTTTCATATAATAGCTTTACTAAAATCTTAAGCTTTTCTAAAATTATTTCTGTGCAGCTGTGCCTCATCCAAAAGACCAATTTTCTATACCTATTTCCCTGTCACCGATGAGATTATCTTTGTAATTAAATTGAATATCTGTGCATAAATGAGGCCAGGCAAAAATAAATGTTATTGTTCTGGGCAAAGGAAAAATAAAGACAGATTAGCAAGAACAGCAAATAAGATCTTAGTACAATTCAGAGAAATTGGAGATGTGCCTGCCTACTTGAAATCATTGCAGGTGGATCGCAAGCAATTATAGTTTTCCTCCTGATCAACACTATGGCCCCCTTTTAAGTGTAAAGCAAATTTTCTTCAGAATAATCACTATATGAAAATAGCTTAAGGACTTTTTAAATAAAGGATAAGACAGTTTTATAAATAAGAAAAGCACCTACAGTTTACACTAGCTGAGATAAAATATGAGAATTGTGAATTTTATACCTGAGAACATAAAACTATTCATACTTAAGGTCAAGAATAAAGTACTTCTTCAATAGTATATTGTTGAATATTTCTCCTGTCCATTAAATACTTCAGATTGTCCAGAGCATGAAGAAGAAAAATTTATTTCATGACTTTTTTTTTCTTATAGAGGACTTTAGAAAATCTTTATAAATTCCAGAGTTAAATTATCCCTTGCTAAGAACATAATAGTATGGTATTTTCAGTGTTCAAAGCCTGTGTTTATGGTGGCTCGTGGAGTAATATAAAGGTAATAGGTATAAATGTGCTGTGAGAGCAACATTTAATTATTTCATTCTAGAATAAAATATAAAGAACTATTAACATCTCCAAATTGGCATTTTTGTGAATTTTGTTTAATCCAACCTCACAAAATTTACTATGTGGCAGCTTGAGTTAGGCCCTAGCAATATATAAAGATGAATGAGACTCAGTTCCAAGTCCATGAAGACCACAATCTAGTTGTATATACACATAGTTATGACTGTAACTAGTTGTTTATATACATAGAATATGATAAAGTCTACCCTAGCAATGCTTTGTAAAGTGTCAGAATAAATGCTTGATATGTATCTACTAAATAGCTGACTCAACTGACTTGAAAAGCTGAGTGTTCTGGCTTCATAGATGAGGAATCCATTAATTCCATCTAGGAGCATTCATTCAGCTTTTGTTTAATTAAATAGCAGTTGGTATGTCTTTCAAGGGATATATATTTTTTTTTTCTATCAGCACTGGGGATTGAACACAGGGGCACTCTGCCACTGAACTACATCTCCAGCCCTTTTTATTTTTTCATTTTGATCAAGAGTCTTACTAAGCTGTCAAGACTTCCTGCCTCAGCTTCTGGAGTAGTTGGGATTCTAGACATGTGCCATTGTGCTTGGCTAGTGTTAACATTTTGATAAGCTGTTTTTTGATTCCATTTAACAAATTATTTATTTATGTACATATATACACATAGACATATACTATATTTTCTATAGCAGGAATATCTCATTTTCTGTCCAGTTATTTTTTCCTGACAACATATCATGTGCATTTCCCATGTGATCAATAAAATGTCTTTGTTACCATCATTTTCCATAGGATTCATAATAATTTAACATACTATTTTTTTTATAAACTTTTGTTGTTTCTAGACTTTTGCTACTATTAACATGGTAATAAGCATTCTGACCCATAATGTTTTGTCAATATTTTTTACTAACGAAAATCACGTTTATTGTCTGCTTTAAAAATAATATGTGATTTAAAAAGTAGTATGTGTTCATTATAGAATAATAATTCAAGTTTTAATTTTTTACTACTACAAAGAGTGTGTCTCTAATAAAGGTTTTTTTGTTTTTTTTTTTTTGGTGGTGCTGGGAATTGAACCTAGGACTTTGTGCATGCGAGGCAAGCACTCTACCAACTGAGCCAAATCCCCAGCTAAATAATAAATTAATTTTTAAAAATTAAGAGTGGACCTATCATTCAGAAACAATTAATGTAAAAAAATGCATATTTTTTACAAAGTTGAAAGCACTTGTTTTTTCCTTCAATGTCATAAGAACATTTTCTTATGTTTTTATAAACTCTTTATAAATATTTTTAGTAGATACATATACTATGATTTAATAATAATAGGTTAATGCAAATCTTAGTAGATATTAACATTGTATCTAAAGTAATAAGCTACAACAAAAGCCTTTGTACATGTAATTTTTTGTGGATAGGTAGAATTTATTAGGGTAGAATAATCAATATTAGTAAAAAATAATAGTAATTATACTATTACTAATATTAACAATAATTAGAATATTAGTATTTCATTCAGAAGTAAAATTACTAAGTGTAAGGACATGAATGACTTAAAAACACTTAATAGGGATTTCCTCCCCCAAAATGTTGGACCATCACATGAAAACTCTTTAAAATGAGTACTTTTAAATAGAAAGAAGCTAATCCCCAGGCACAGTGACACATGTCTGTAATCCCAGAAGCTAGGGAGGCTGAGACAGGAGGACTTCGAGTTCAGAGTCAGCCTCAGCAACAGGGAGGGGCTAAGCAACTCAGTGAGATCCCGTCTCTAAATAAAATACAAAAATGGGCTGGGGATGTGGCTCAGTGGTTGAGTGCCCCTGAATTCAATCCCTGATAATACCTCCCACCAAAAAGGAAAGAAGCTAAAATTTAGTTAGCAACTATTATTTTATGTTTAATTATACAGTAATTTTTTTCTTTTCCCTCTATTTTTTTGGGGGGGGCATACAGTTCTATGAATTTTAATACATGTATACATTTCTGAGATCACCACAACAGTCAGAATACAAAAGTCTGTTGCCCCTCAAGCTCTCTTTGTGCTACTCTTGTGTATCCATACTATCATCAGAGCCCTAACCTTATCCTCCACTGATCTGTTCTTCATTATTCTTCATTATTGTAGTTATAAATGGAATCATAAAGAATGTAATCTTTTGATAATGGCATATTTTACTCAACATATGCCTTTGAAATCCACCCAAGTTTTATATACTAGTTCATTACATTTTGTTGCTGAGTAATATTCTATTATATGGATGTACCACAATTTGTTTAGCCTCTCTCCTGTTGAAAACATTTGTGTTGTTTCCAGTTTGTGGCATTTACAGATAGAGCTGCTATAAACATTTATGCTTAAGTTTCTATATGAATATGTTTTCATACCTAGGAGTAGAATTAAGCGATTTGTTTCCTTTTGAGTTTTAAAATTTTTTTATATGTTCTAGATATGAATCCTTTGTCGATATGTAATTGTTAAACATTTACATTTTCTCCATTTGTGTCTTATTATCTTATAAATATTTCTTGTGGAGATGAAGTTTTTTTTATTATTTCAATGAAATCCCCAATTATTTTTCTTTTATGAATTATACTTTTGGAGTTGTTGCTAAGAATTCTTTGCTAATGCCAAGTCATGAAGATTTTCTCATGTTTTCTTATAAGTTTTATAGTTTTGTTTTTGCATATGAGATGCCAAATTTTCCTCACATTCTTTGTTGAAAAGATTATCCTTTCTGAAATCATTGAATTGCAATAACATCTTTCTTTTTTTGTTTGTTTTTTGATTCATATTTTATTTTTTTCATTGTTTTTATGTATTTATTCTAATTAGGTTTATTTGACAGCAAAATGCATTTTGATTCATTGTACACAAATGGCACACAACTTTTCATTTCTCCAGTTGTACACGATGTAGCATTGCACCATATATGTAGTCATACACATACCTATGGTAATGATGTCTGTCTTATTCTACCATCTTTCCTGCGCCCATGTCCCCTCCCTTTCTCTCCCTCCCCTTTCCCCAGTCAAAGTTCCTCCATTCTTCCCATGCCCCCCCCACACACACACACACTTATAGATCAGCATCTACTTATCAGAGAGAACTTTGGGCCTTTGGGTTTTTGGGATTGGCTTATTCTCCAGCTCCTGCAATAACACCTTTCTTGTTATTTACAAAAAAAAAATCCTTCTGGAATTTTTGGTTGGTTTTAATTTGATTAGTGTTTCTCATCCTTTTGCTTTTAACCAAACTATATCATATTTAAAATGGCTCTTGTAGATAGCATATGTTTGGATCTTGTTTTATTATAAATCTGTTTTTGACCTAGTTTATTTAAACCATTTGCATTTAATATGTTTAGATGTATGTCTACTTTTTTGTTATTTGCTTAAGTGTGTTCCCTATTTTTCATTTCACTGTTTCCACTTTTCTTCCTTCTTTTGTATTGATTTTTTTCTATAATTCCATTTATTTTATTTTTTTTTTGGTACTAGGCATTGAACCCAGGGGTGCTTAACCACTGAGTCACATCCCCACTTCCCCCCTTTTTATATACTTTTTTATTTTGAGATAAGGCCTTACTAAATTGTTGGCACTAGCTTTGTACTTAGAATCTTCCTGCCTCAGCCTCCTGAGCCACTGGAATTATAGGAATGTGCCACTGTGCCCATTTCATATTTTTTATTGAGAATTTTACTGTATCATTTTTACTATGTGTCTTGGTGAAGATTTGGGTTTTTTTGTTTGTCTGTTTGTTTGTTTTGCCTTTTAAGTCCTGCTTGCTCTTGAAATTATAGTATAAATACATAATTTTTTAATCTATTAAAGATGTTTATTTTAGTACTTCAAATGGAATGTAGAAATCTTGATTAAAGATAAATGATTAATGGGGCTTGGGTTGTGGCTTAGGGGCAGAGCATTGGCTAGCATGTGTGACTCATTGGGTTCAATTCTCAGCACCACATATAAATAAATAAAGGTCCATCAACAACTAATAAAATATTTTTTAAAAAAAAAGATAATTGATTAATGATTAAAACCAATCAAAAAACCCAGAAGGAATTTGTTATTGCAATTCAATGATTTCAGAAAGGATTAAATTCCTTTAATCTCCCCACTTTTGATTGTGTTGTTACATACATTATATCATGTATGTGCTAATTTTAGTTTTCAAATTTTTAGACACATATTAAATATCTTAAAAGAAAAAACACAATATTTATCTAGGTATTTACCAAGTCTGTTTTTCTTCCTTTAATCCAGTATTTAGATGTTTCCCTTTTGTATCATTTCCCTCTTTTCTGAATATATTCCTGTAATATTTTGTTGTTTTTTTTTTCATTTGTTGATAGACCTTTTTTTATTTATTAATTTATATATGGTGCTGAGAATTGAACCCAGTGTCTCACACATGCTAGGCAAGCACTCTACCACTGAGCCACAACTTCAACCCCTTTTTTTAAAAAATATTTTTTTAGTTGTAGATGGACTCAATACCTTTATTTCATTTTTATGTGGTGCTGAGGATTGAACCCAGTGCCTTCCACATGCAAGGAGAATGCTCTACCACTGAGCTATAGCCCCAGCCCCCTGTAACATTTCTTTTAGAGAAGGACTGTTAGCAGTGGGTCCTCTTAATTTTCTGTCATCCAAAAATGTTTTGTTTCACCTTCATTTTCTTAAGCTTGTTTGTGGATACAGGATTTTGTGTTGATAAATATTTTTCCCCACACTTGAAAAATGTTATTTTACATCCTTTTGACCTATGTATCTTCTGATGAGAAATCCACAGCAGAAATATGTTCTCTCCCTCTGGCTGTTTTCAAGACTTTTTATTTGTCTTTAGTTTTCAGTGGTTCGATTATGAGGAATCTAGGTGCGGATTTCTTTGAGCCAAACCTGTGTGGGGTTTTGCAGAGTTTCTTGAGTATGTAAAATTGTGAATTTCTCAGACATCATTTCTTTAAATATTTTTTTCTGTTCCACATAGTTTCTCTTCTGAAACTAATGACCTAAACTTAGATGCCTGGAACTCTACATTTTCTTCAGTCTGTTTCTTTTTGACATACTCTTTCCCTGAATTCATATTAAGCCCACCCAGTTAATTTTTAATTTCAGTGATTGTAGTTTTCAGGTGTGTCATTTCTATTGGGTTCCTCTTCATATCTCCCTTTTCTTTGTTGAGATGCCCTATCTTCTCACTAATTTCAAGAGTATTTGCCCTTACTTCTTGGTGCATGATTATCAGAGCTTTTAAAAAGTCTTTGTGTGTCTATGCTAGCATCTGAGTCACCTTGAAATTGGAAACTGTTGATTGTCTTTTCCTTTGTGAGTTGAGATTTTTCTGGTTCTTAACATTCTGAGTACTTTTGGATTATATCCTAGACATTTTGAATATTGGTCCTTATTTAATCCCAAAACAGTGTCTATTTTTTTTTAATTTATTTATTTAACAGATCTTTGGCCAAGTGAATTTCTGGCTGCAAGTTTTGGCCTACTTTCTGTGAGCTGTGGTTCCAATTCCAGTTCTATTTTTAAAACAGTTGCAGTAACATTTGGATCAATCCCATGTGAGTGCTACCAAGTGTCTAATCTGAGATCTGGGTGATCGACTGTCCTATGGTTAATTTTGCAAACTCTGTTTAGGGTCTGATCCACGTATTCTTATCTCCGAGCTAGGAGTCCATATACAATTTTATGGAATTGGCTGTCTTGATTTCTGCCCTAAAGGACTGGTCATCCCAGTACTTTCCAGCTCCCTAAGGCCTTCCTTCCTGGTTCTCTATCCAGAAAGCTGAGGTTTTAATTTCTATCTTTTGCCATGTACTTCCTGTAACTGCCTGCATCTGGGGTCAAGCTGCAGAAGGACATACAAAAGGCAATGGGGATTGGCCCTTTACTCTTGGAACCACAGCTCCTCTGCTAAGAGAGAAGGAAGGGTTCTTCTCCCTCAGAGTTTTAGGCTTCTGCCCAACTGCCACTACCATAACTGTGGTGCTGACTCTACTGCTGCCTAAGTGTTTCTTGGTGTCTGAGAAGGAAAGGAGGGGGAAGATCCAGGGGGTTTTCTCCACTCTCTCCAAACTGTAAGAGTCCACTTTCTTGTTCTTTAGGCCAGAAATAAAAGGATTTTTTTCTTGGATTTTTTTGTGTCTTCACATATACTGCTGGATTGGAGCTTTCTTTGATTTGTACTGCAGGGAGACAAATGATAAGTTCACTGCTGATTTGATAGAACTTTGAATTCTGATCTTTTCCCCAGACTTCTTTTTATCCTTTCTCTTTTAGAGTCCTCGGATACCTGCTCCATGTATTATGTCCAGGAGCCATAGTTGAGTGTAGATGGCGAGACAAGTGAACTCACTCCACCTTCCTCAAAACTGAACTTCTATTATGTTTTAAGAATGTACTTTAAATCAGATATTTCATTTAATTTTTGAAAACCATCAAAGACAGTTATCAGACCTATTTCACAGGTGAGGAGACTATGCACAGGTAGTTAATTTTCCCCAAATCCTAGAGGCAGTAAATGATACCCCCCAAAAATCTAAAATCTAGCCATCCCCAGCAACTTAGCAAGACCCTGTCTCAAAATAAAAAATAAAAAGGGCTGGAGATATGGGTCAGTTGTGAAATGCCCCTGGGTTTAATTGCCAATACAAAAAAAAAAAAATCTAAAATCTAAGCTGGAGGTCTCTTGTTTCAAAGTTTTGTTTTGTTTTTACTTTTTAACTTTTCACCAGTTTCCCCTAATATATTCCTTTTTCTTTCTTACTTAATAATATCTATTAAGACATAAACAACAAATTGGAAGATAATTAGTTATCATTTTTCCTGAACAAAGCTTATTTTAACCATTTTTATTACTAATTTTTTCAGGAACTGAGGTTCCTAATAGTTATTCTAATTAATTTTATCCAGCAAATATTTATTATATATTAGGTTGTGTCATGCTGTGTGGGATTCAGAGTTACTTTAGGGAGCTATTCAGGAAGATTTACAAATGCAAATAATAAGTTGAATATAATAATAACAAAAAAGGTAATTTTTTTTTCAAAAGTATAATGGGAATTTAAGGAAAGAACGACTAGGACTAAGTAGGGATACAAAGGAAGATTTGTATTTCTGCCTGTAAAATAAAAGGAGATATTAAAGAAAACATGTTTATACATGAGACAATACCACAGCAGTTTTTTAAAAATCATACTTGTCCCCATGTGATATAATGTTATAGACAGGAAGATTTTTTTCATCTAGGTCTGTTTGCTCCCACTCAAAAAAAAAAAAAATCCCATTATTTTTACACTCAGATAGATTTCAATGTATTAGTGAAATATTTAAATAAACCACATCTTTACAGATAGCTTATTGGTAACCAAGGTTTAAGGCATCTAAAGTGACATTTGATAGATTATATTTACCATTTAGAATCTTAAGTTAAAACTACCTCACCTATTTTTCTCTTTTCAATAGAAAAGAAACATTTGTTTGCATAGGAATTCATGAAGGTGACCCAACCTGGAAAAAGAACTATTCACTTTGGCCTTGGGGGTCTTGTGACAAATTAGTTCCTTCAGAGATTGTATTCAACCCTGAGGAATGGATTAAACTCACAAGAAATATCTACAACTGGACTGAAGAATATGGAAGGTATGAAAAGCAGTTGTATTTTAAGCAGAATATGACAGTTTTGTGTGTCTAAAAAAATACACACTTTCAGTTGTCTTTTAATTTTTTTTGTTTTTTATTTTCAAAATTATTTGCTTCCCACAATGTATCAGAAAACATCTCTCTCTTGACTTCCTATTAACAGAATGATGGGACATAGAGGGAAAAGGAGATTGAGTGGGTACCACAAGAGTTAGATGTATGGCATCTGCAGCTTCCAGGCCTTTCAACGCTGTATTGTCCACCCCGAACCCGGTATCTCATTATCCTAAAATAAAAGGGGCTCATTAACAGCACTTGAACTTTCAGAGGCACTCTGCTGCCCATGATAGATTCCACATACATGAACTTGTCATTTTTTTTTTTTTCAAGAATTGCAGATATGGGCTGCACAAGTATCTCAGTGGTACAGTACTTTTCTACCATGTGCAGGGTCCTGGGTTCAATCCACAGCACAACAACAACAAAAAAGGCAGATAATTTTTTTGTACAGAAGACCGAATTTGAGTACTTTTTAAATTTTTTTCCAGCTATTTGGCATCAACCTGTTTATGTTGTTTGGGGCATTACTATTAGTCTTCCTTTAAGCATTTCTACATAGAGTTGACTGTCTCCCATATGGAAAATGGGTCACTGTCTAAAGAATTGTTTCCACTACCTATTTGCATTTTTTCTTATTTTTAAAATTATTTTCTTATTTTTTATAATTATACATAATGGTGGGGTTTGTTTATATTTATATTATAGGGTGAATATCCTTCCTCAGAATGTCATCTGCTGATAATTTTTGATTTTCATGAGATCCCTCCACCTTTCTTTTCCTTTATCCTCTCTAGCTTCCACATATGAAAGAAAACATGACCCTTGACCTTTGGAGTTTGACTTAATTCATTTAGAATGATGTTCTCAAGTTCTATTCATTTTTCTGCAAATATCATAATTTTATTTTTCTTTTTGGCTGAATATAAATATAAATTTTCTTTATCTATTGATGGGTACCTAGGCCAGTTCCATAGTTTGGCTTTTGTGGATTGTGCTGCTATAAACATGGGTGTCCATGTATCATTATAGTATGCTGACTTTAATTCTTTAGGATCAATACTGAGGAGTAGGATAACTGCATCGTATGGTGGTTCTATTCCTAGTCTTTTGAGGAACTTATGTGCTGATTCCCATAGTGATTATACTAATTTACAATCCTTCCAACTCCTCTACCTATTTTAAAAATTATTAATTACTTAAAAATTATCTAACCTGCTTAAAATTGAAAATCAAAAGACAAATTCATATGAACAAATGCTATAAAAGTTTTTTGAATCAACATAAGCAAACAGACCACATTGTTGCATTAACATCCAGAGCTTGATAACTAGTATTAAAACAAAGCACTCTGTGGCCTTTATAAGAAAAAGTTAGAAATAATGTATTCTTCAGATTGTGGACAATAATATGTGTGCATAGCATTATTCATTGTCTCCATTCTATCAAAATACACAATAAAATAAATTTTAATGGAGAAAAATCAATAAATATTTTGGCTAGAGTTCTTTGTATGGCAAAATAGTCCTAGTAATGGTTTATCCAAGCCAGGAGTTTCCCCTCTTCATGATTATTCCCTTGTTTCACAGCTCCTGGGGTCTTCACTCTGTGTAGAGCATGGCCCACACCTCACCTCTAACTGTTGCCGTTTAACAGCTCTTAATAATAGCTGGTCCCCCAAATGTCTTTGTTTGCTTCCTTGAGGCACTAGAGCTCACACTGATTAAGGACACATTTATCAAAACCTGTAATTCCTTAACTGAACTTCTTTTTTAGGAGAATAAATTTATTAGTTTGGTCATTATTAGTTCTTAAAGATCCAGCCTATTTGCCAGGTGTGGTAGCACACACCTGTAATTTCAGCAACTTGGGAGGCTAAGGCAAGATAGCAAGGCCCAAAGCAATTTAGCAAGACCTTGTCTCAAAATTAAAATAAAAAGGGTTGGGGATGTAGCTCAGTGGTAAAGAGCCCTTGGGTTTCCCAGTACCCCCTCCAAAAAAAGAAAAAGAAAGAAAGAAAGATTCAGACTGTTTTAGTGGCCTTATAAGATTTTAAAACAGGCATTTCATGTCTATAGCAATAAATGTAGTTGACAGAAAGATATTATTGTTTCTTATAACTGCAGGTTTGATCCATCTTCTTGGGAATCTGTGGCCAATGAAGAGATGTGGCAAGCAAGGTGATTAATTACATTTTTGTGTTTGCAGTCTGTTTTTAATGTAGCAGAGAAGTAGCCTATGACAATTTTTACTTTGGGAACAGGGGTGAGTGGTAATAAAAACAATATTTATGAGCAACTATATGGTTTAAGGCATTGTACAAATGGTTTTTTGAGCTAATACAATTAATCTATTCTCATCCTCATAACGTATGAAGTTTTTATTAATATCACCACTTTATAAAACAACAAACTGGAAGAAATTGTACATGCCCAAGGCCACTAGGCTATTAATGATGGAGCCTGGACTTTGACTCTAGAACAGTCTTAACTCCCATGCTCTCCTTTCAACTAAACCAAAGTGAATGAGATTGAGTGGAAGTTGACCATCGAAACCCTGCCTCTATTTGTAATGTGCCAGTTAATTAAGCACTTACTTAATACTTACTAGAAGCCAGGCACTGTTCCAGGCATCAAAGCTATACATATGAATATGACACAGTTTCTACCCTCATGGAAATCATAGTCTGATGGAATGAACCAACATGCTAAAAGAGATTAATATGATAGATGCTGTACTTTCCTGTTGTTCAGAGAGAGATTACATTCTTCTGTATGGAACACTTCATAGTGATGTTACTGCTTTTCCTGGTCCCTGTCATTATTTTTAAATAATCAAAACAACTAACATGAGCAAACTTTGACCGAAATATTAATGTAAAGGTCTTAACTAATACACAGGGGTGGCTTGCTCCTATTGGCTGCTTCTTCTGCAAAAGTGTATACCAGAGACTGTGCACTTGGAATTGAGTTATGGTTTACATGTGTTTAAAACGATGTTAAGAAGCTGGACACAGTGGTGCACACCTGTGACACAAGCTCCCTGGGAGACTAAAGCAGGATGATCACAAATTTGAGGTTTGGGCAACTTAGTGAGACCCTATCTCAGTGGTAAAAGCACCCCTGGGGTCAATCTGAAGAAGGGGGGGGGAAGAGGAGGAAGAGGAAGAGGAGGAGTCAAGAAATACAACTGTAAGATAATGATTATAAAAATAGATATACCATAGTTTATAAATAATAGTTTTGAAAAAGTCAGAAAACAGCACATATCAACTTATCAGCTTAGTTATAAGGACAAACACTTGCTTTAAATCCCTGGTAAAAGATACATTGTATGCACATTTCTGTGACTAACTGTGGGAAAACTAGGGAGAAACCACATAAAAGAAGAAAGCTGTCATTACTCGGGTAGGTATTGATTTAATTAGTGTGCTAAATACAACTTGGATGAGTTTATGTGGTCAAAGAATCTAGCCACCTTTGAAGACCAGGTCACACACAGAGTAAGCTGCCATGATAAGCACTTTCAGGAATGTGCTGATAATCTAGCCAAGTCTCCCCTCTTTCCAGCTGTTCTTGCTTAAGAATAATGTTCATCTGAAGGAGACCAGATGTAATAGCAATGATTAACGTAGACTTTTTTCTGAAAGATTTGGTAATAAGTGCAGCACTTTGGGGAAGGGGCTGTTGCTATAGGTTCAGAGTAAACTTCCGTGAACATGAAAGAATGAAAAATAGCACAGTAAAGTGTTTTGTACATTCCATACCAGTGGAAAGCTTGGAAGATTTAGCCCTGAATATGAAATTGATGGTATGATTTTAATAAAGGTTCCCATTCCCACCCCAGGATGAAAACACCATTCTTCATCTTCAGCCTGGCAGAAACTACTGATATGCCTTCAAAGGTGAAAACTCAGCTCTACTCTCATGCATATAAGGTATGTGAAAATTTTGTAGAGATATTTGGTGGGAAGGTGGAAGTCACTGGGATAGAGAGAGGATGTACAACAGAGTTTTTTGTTTGTTTTGGTACTGGGGATTGAACCCATGAGTGCTTTACCTCTGAGCACATCCCTGGCCCTTTTTATTTTTTATTTTGAGACAGGGTCTCACTAAGTTGCTTATGGTCTCATTAAGTTGCTGAGGCTGACCTTGAACTATCAATCCTCCTGTCTCAGCCTCTTAAACGGCTGGGATTACAGGCATGTGCCACCATGCCCAGCAATGACAGAGTTTGTATTCTTTTGTTTCGAACTTTAGTTTGGGCATTATAAAACATCATATATGGGAAAATAACTCAATTGTATCATAAACAATGTTCATGATGGAGAGTAGACAAAATACTCCCACCAAGATGTCTGTAGCCTAATATCCAGAACCTGTGACTATATTACCTTACATGGTAAAAGAGACTTTGTAAATGAGACTTAAGTTAAGGGTCTTGAGATGGAAGATTATCTTGAATTATTCAGGTAGGCCTGATATGATCACAGGAGTCTTATAAAAAGGAGACAGGAAGGTCAGAGTCAGAGGAGATGCAACGCAGAAGCAGAGATCACAGAGGGAGAGATTTGAAGACGCTACACCACTGGCCCTGAAGATGGAGGAAGGGGGGCTGCAGATTAAGAAGTGCAGAGGGATGGGAGGGAAAGGGAGGGGGAAGGAGATTAGCAAGGATGGTGGAATGTGATGGTCATCATTATACAAAGTACATGTATGAAGACTTGAATTGTGTATCAATATACCTTATATACAAACAGAGATATGAAAAATTGTATATATATGTATTAAGAATTGTAATGCAAAAAAAGTACATGTATAAATAGCATAAATTGGTGTAAACATACTTCATATTCAGAGGTATGAAAAATTGTGCTCTATATGTATAATAAGGATTGTAATGCATTCCACTGTTGTCGTATATTTAAAAAATAATAATAATTTTAAAAAAGTGCAGAATGCCTCTGGAAGTTGGAAAATGTAGGGAAACAGATCCCTCACTAGGTCCTTCAGTAGAAATTCAACCCTGCTGATTTTACAGCTTCTCAACCACCAGAAGTGCAAGATAACAAATATGTGTTTAAAGTTACTGTGTTCATAAGTTGTTATTGCAGCAATAGGAAACTATTATAATGGCTTCATTAAAAAAAAAAAAAAAACCTTCTGACAGGTTATCCTCTTTATAAAAGTCTTGACACTGTCTACACCTGGAATGATAGGGCCAATGGTCAGTAATTATTTGCGCTGGGGCGGGGGGAATTCAATATCTTTAGCCATCAGGGAAATGCAAATTAAAACCACATTGAGAGTCCATTTTACCTGAGATGGGTATCTCCTATGTCTCAGAATGGCAATCATCAAGAATATAAAAAACAGGCAGGCAGGGTGGCACACAACTATAATCCCAGCAACTCGGAAAGCTAACACAGGAGGATCACAAATTCAAGGCCAGTCTAAGCAACTTTGTGAAACCTTGTCTCAAAATTAAAATAATAAAGTAAAAAGGACTGGGGATGTGGCTCAGTGGTGAAGCACCCTAGGTAATCCACCCCCCCAAAAAAATATCCATAACCTGTGACTATGTTACCTTACATGATAAATAGTAAATGCTAGTAAGGATATAGGGAAAAAAGAAGCCCTTATACAATGTTGGTGGGAAAGTAAATTAATATAACCACTATGGAAATCAGTATGGAGATTCCTCAAAAAACTGAAAATGGAACTATTGTATGATTGAGATATACCGCTTCTTGATATATACTCAAAGGAATTAAAGTCAGCATACTATAGAGATACTGCATACCCATGTTTATTGCAGAACAATTTGCCACAGCCAAATTAAGGAAACAGCCTAGGTGCCTTTCAACAGATTAATGGATAAAGAAAATGTGGTATATATACACAATGGAATTTCATTCAGCCATGAAGAATAAAATCATATCATTTTTAGGAAAATGTATAGAACTGAAGATCATCATGTTAAGCAAAATAAGCCATGCTCAGAAAGACAAGTTTCACATGTTTTAAGGAGGACTTGAAAGTAGAAGGGAGATGATTAGAGAAGAAGAGGAACTTGAAAGGAAGGAAGGAAAGATAAGAGGGGTAGTGGGGAGTAGAAATGACCAAAGTATGTAATATGCATGTGAATATGACACAATCAAACTCATTGTCCTGTATAATCAATATATGCTATTTAAAAAATGATATAGCCATGGCTGGTTGAGATTTTAAGAGTAAAGGTAAAAGGTCACAGAGAGAGGCCCTGTCTTCTAACTGGCCACAGGAAGCTGAATGGACCTTCCCAAGGTACACTGAGGCTTCTGCACAAATTGTCCTTCTCTGCTGGGAAATGGAACACAGAAAGGAGGCTTGCTATGGCACTATTTTAACAAGTTTCTGCTTTTCTGTTATTTATAGCAATGGGCTCTTTCAACACCATTTAGTCTTGGAGTCTTATATAAGAAACAAATATCCTGGCAAGGACCTATGAAAGACAGAGCTCAGAACCTATGTGTTTGAGCAATGAGATTTTTCCACTCTCTCTCTAGACTGCCATGGATCTGCTTAGCCGGGGCATTTGCTTTTGCTGAGTCAAAAATAACATGGCATCCAATAAGTATGACTAATTTCACTACTAAATTCTCATTATTGGTTCATTGTTTATTCATGTATTCCTTCATTCACAAAGCATTTATTGAGCACCAACTCCATACCACATACTATGTTGGAGATAATTGACCTTGTTCCAATTATCAAAAAAGTAGTAGGCTGAAGAGGGAGACAGATGATCAAGTCCTCAGTCACAGTTCACTCTTGTAAGTGCTATGAGAGGCCTGCCGAGGTTCTGTGGGAACAGAGAGCCCGAGCTGGGAGGAAAGAAGAGAGCCTTCCAGAAGAGATGCCACTAGATGTTCTTGAATTATCAGAAAGAGCTGGCAAGAAAGATGGTGGGGCAAGGAAGTGAGAGAGGAGGGGAGAGCAGTCCATAAAGGAAGATACCCAGGGAGCACAGGCAGGATCCTCCAGGGAATCCCCCTGGAGGACAGGAAGAGAGTTGGTTATAGGAGTGGCACACTGGAATTCTGTCTGGTAGATGGGAGGTCTAGGTTCTCCATTCTCCCTGCCATTAATTGTTAACTGTGAGTCAGTTAACCTTCCCAGGCTTTGATTTTTTCCTTTAACAAATTATGGGCTTTTGGGGGCTGCAGTTGTGGCTCAGTGGTAAAGCGCTTGCCTAGCATGTATGAGGCACTGGGTTCGATTCTCAGCACTGCATATAAATAAATGAATAAAATAAAGGTCCGTCAAAATCTAAAGAAAGTTTTTGAAAAATATAGGCTTTAAATTTCAAAAGATTAGCTCTTAACCAGGTATGATGACACACACTTAAATCCCACAATTTGTGAGGCTGAGGCAGGAAATTGCAACTTTGAGGCCAGCCTCAGCAACTTAATGAGATGCTACCTCAAAAAAGAGAGAGAGAGAGAGAATAGGACTGGGGCTATAGCTTAGTGGTTAAGTGCCCCTAGGTTCAATCCCCAATACCACACACATACAAAAATAAGATCAGCTCTTGTACCTTTGAATGTATCATATTCTGTTCATCTCTCATACCCTGTAACACTATGAAAAATAAACAGTATTTATTTGGGAGAGCTAGGTGTTGTAGCACAGGCCTATAATCCCAGTGACTCTGAAGGTTGAGGCAGAAGTATCACACGTTAGAGGCCAGCCTCAGCAACTTAGTGAGGCCCTAAGCAACTTAGCAGGAACCTGTCTCAAAATAAAAACTAAAATGGGCTGGGGATGTGACTCAGTGGTTAATTCCTGATACAAAAAAAAAAAAGCAGTATTTACTAGGGAGAAAACTGAGAATTATTAATATTTTATTTTTATTTCCTTATCAGTGATCTCTTCCGTGGTCAGTTGCTAGACCACCTAAAGCTCATTTGTGGATTTTTTCCCCCTTTGGACAATAAGCTTTTTTTTTCAGTGAACACAGACTATGGGTATCTCCTGTGACTACAGATGTGTGATAATTCTTACAAGACAATTGAGAGCAATTATTTGGTGAATCAACACAAACTCACCCCTATTACTGGTTTTTCTAGAATATTGTTAGGTGTAAAGGATATTTTTGTTGTCATTTACATCATCTAGCTCAGTAGTTTAAACAGAATATTAAGTTCAGGGATGGTAGAGAAGCATGGAATAGCCAGCTCCTCAGGAACAAATTGGTTAAGTTGAAAATGTTTCCAATTAATGGGACAAGTCTATTAAAACAATGTCATAGTAGCACACTCTGAAAAGGAAATATAATTCCAATTCCACATCATGAAACATGATTGGCTTCTTAAGACTTGACATTTGTGACTTACTAGATCATCCAAATCAAATTGAAGATTCATCAGTCATAATGTAAGTTCTTCAATACCTAAAGACTATATAGGAGGTAGGTCACTTGAGCCTCTGATTCTCTTGAGCAATTCAGGAAATTAAGGCTTCTTGAAGTACTGTCTCTCTTTTGGACTCCAAAATCTCAATAGGTTTTTGAAAATAGTTCCTGAACACCTACTTGATGTGAGCAGCATGCTATACACTTTATATACATTCCTCAGAGGGAAGCTCAGAAGAAGCAACTGAAAGAGAAAAGGAGATTATGAGAAAGGGCAGAGAAGAATTGAATGTTTTACCAAAGGAATAAAAATGTAGGAGGGCTGGGGATGTGGCTCAAGCGGTAGCGCGCTCGCCTGGCATGCGTGCGGCCCGGGTTCGATCCTCAGCACCACATACAAACAAAGATGTTGTGTCCGCCGAAAACTAAAAAAAATAAATATTAAAATTCTCTCTCTCTCTCTCTCTTTAAAAAAAAAGAGATTTCAATTAAAAAAATGTAGGAGGCAGACTTTATAGCGTTGATATATATTAAAGCATGTGGGGACTCTTTCCTATTTCATTGTGTTGTGGGGGATTGAACCCATGCTAGGCAAGTGCTCTATCACTGAACTACACCCCCACCCCCACTTCCTATTTCATAAAAATAAGGGAACTGAGGGGGAAGTTGCTATAAAAGGCAACTTGAAGATGGAAGGTTTATTAAGTATCAAAATGACATATCAAACATGGATTTTTAACAAGGATGCTGTTTTGAAATAGGTATGGATTTGTCTTCTCTGGAGTAGGAGTTTGAGAAATAAATAATACAATTGGTCTGTTTCAGCAAAATGACGTTTTGAATGCAATTCTAATTCAAAGAGCACTTGTCCCATAGAAAGCGTTATTGCTATTCTGTGCTCAGAGAATCTACAGGAAAACTCCTGGGAATCCAGCTGTAACTTGACAGTCCCCAGGAAGGCTGTGAAATTCCCAAAGAAGCAAGCATAACACTACATTTAACAGATTTGTATTACCTTCTTATTTATTTATTAAATTTTAATGTGTTTCCTCTGGAAAACTCAATATTGAAAATTCTAACTATATTCAGTTTATATTGTCTCTGATGTTGGAAAATCAAAATTTGAAATTTTTGTGGGCAAATTTTAACTATCAAAAATATAAGCTATAGGATAACTGAAAATTTTTGCTATCTTGCTTTAAGGATATCTCTTAAATTCTGTTATGCTTAACCTACCTGATGATAGAATTGTTTGGATTGTTTTGTTATTGCTATTATTACTGTTGTGTTCAATGCAGAGAGAAATTCTTTTAAATAATATGGGACAGAATTTAAATTCCTTCAAGTTCTTTTTCCACACAGTCTTCTAAAGAAAGTTGTCATTTTTTTCCCCCTCTAACAGCTAAATTTAGAGTTTCAACTTCTCTGCCTGTTGAGTAAATAGCTTGCCACAATTTAGACCTAAATCCCTTTCCCAGAAATCTTTCTGGAGGAAGAGCATTTTGTCCTGACACAGTATGTCTCGGTTCCTTCTGCAACATCCAAAAACCCCAGAAGCAGTTTTAGATGAAGCATATTTGCCTCCCGCTACTGTTATAATTACAGTAACATCGTTGCATTTTCTGCATGGCCTAGCAACAATTTGATTTTACTGTAGGCTGCTTGGATTTTTTTTTTCTTAATTCCTTTATGTTTTATGGTTTTGGGGGGGGAAAAGTCAAGGAATAACAATGGAATACCAACATTTTTCCATTTTCCAGCTTTATAAGGAGATTGTCTATTTACAAAAGGAACACCCAGTGAATTGGCACAAGAACTACGCCCTTGCTTGTGAGCGGATGCTTCGTCTTCAGGAGAGAGATACAGACGCTGAAGTCCTGTTGTCTGAAACTATCAGACATTTCCGTCTATATACTCAGAAAGCACAGAATGATCCCCAGCTAGCTGATATTTTAGTTGCTCTCAAGCACTTAAGAAAAGAACTGCAAGGTCTGAGAAATATGAAAAATGTGTAATACAGCAAAATGGGAAAAACCTGCTCAACTTTCAACTTCCAAAATTCTGAAGTCCAAAAGTTTTCCTTCAAGAAAACTGCATAAGAAATGGAAAACTTAGTGATTTTTCAGATCCAAGTAATATGGCAACAATATTGCTTAATGAATGTTTGGTGATTGAGATGTGTGCTATTTATGCAAAATTATAATATCCCATGTTACCAAATTAGCATATCCATGAGAAGCTTTTGAAAATTTTTTTCAAAAATCTTCAACAACCTTATACCAAACAACTGTACTTGATTCAGTGAAATTCTAGAAGATAATGAACTACTTTCATAAGGCCATGTTTGTCTATTCATACCAGACCAAAGACATTTTCTGTTTTCTGAAAATGAAATAGTTTTTTAAAGGAATGGATCTCTCTATGCTCTAAATTACAATTCCTTTTTCTTTAAGTAACTATTGTTGTTGTGTAATCATACTTCAAGCTACACAGCAAGTAGGTGATATTTTGAGAAACCTTTGAGTTTTATTGTTATAAGACAATAGTTTTCTGAAATCACGAATTTGAGCTAATTTAGTGTTTGCTTATTTCAGTTACAGAAACCAAATGGCAAGTAAAAAGGATTTTACATTTACATAATTAATTTTATATTTATGTTTTACTTCTATTTGTACTTACAGATATAGGCCCAATAATTAGGGGTTCCTGCTGCCCAATGCAGGGGGGAATAAAAAGGTTAGGGATTGGTTTAGGGGGATGGGAAAGTTCAATAAATTCATTTCTGTTACAAGCATCTTTTATACATATTACTAAAGAGAACAGAGTAAGAAATGCAAATAATAGTTCTTTATTTTATTATGACAGTTAATTAATAGCAACCTGTTTTAATGAATAAAGTCACTCAGAGTCCTTCAGCACTTCCTAAGTAGAGGCCAGAATCTGTAGGGATTCTTTTCCCCCCAATTGTAGAGCTCCTAGACTCCAAGCACTATATAGGCCCCTGTATAGAAATGCTCACTAATGAAGAGGGAGGGCTAGAAGCTTGTCTGCATTCAAAGATCACTGGTGAGTCATTCAGCAAGAAAAGGCCCCTTACCAGGAATAGTCACAGTTCCGTGGCATTGTACTAGCAAAAGGGTCTGATCAAAGGTCTCCTGTGGAGCTTGCATGGTTCCCTTTCATACTACGACCATAATTAAAACCACTAATTCTCTTTTAAAATGCTGCAGGATGCCATGTAGGCATCTGTCTGGAGTGTCCTTTGTGATGTCATAAGCTGTTAAGGACCAGTGCCGAGGGCTTTTGAGTGAAATGCCAGTCATGAAGGTGCTTCAAGACAAGGGTGCCTCTAAAAGCTTGACAGGGCCTTGACTGCACAATTCGAGCTGAATTTGCCCCTTGTCAGCTGCCAGTAAATAAATCTCAAAGGGGGAAAAGCTGAAGTTTCATTACCTGATCCATGGGGCTTTGTTGGTTTTGGCATCACACAGGGGAAGCTCTTGCCCCACCATTCTCTGGATTTGAAGATGTCCATTGGAGCCTGCAGTGCCTGGACAGGGTTCAGAGCGGAACCTTTTGAAGAGTGTCAATAGTTGTAACAGTTCAGCTGTTAGGAAGACAAATAAATGGAGGAGCTCATTAATCCTCTTTTGGCTCTCAGTGCCTTTTGCCCTTTTATCACAGCCTTATTAGGCTCCTACTCATCTTGAACCAGAAAAAAATGAATTGAAGTTGTTGAGTACTAATTGGCAAAGACTTTTAATCATGGGCCAAGAACTTTCACTGACTTGAAAGTAACTTCTCCACAGGGAAGAGCCAAAAACCTGGTTTACCTTAAAACAAAAACCTGTTGGAGTTCAGTGTGGTGTAAAAATTTAGGGAAGCACTGATAAATTGTGTAAGTTTATCCACCTGAAAGAAATTATATAAGATTATGATTTTCAATTTTAAGGGGGAAAAGTATAAAAAAATGTATTGTCTTTTTTGGTTCAGAAAAGGGACTGCATGCCTAGTGCAGTGACTGTTTGCTTCTGAGCATCTTCACATAAGTATGAATGTTCATCTGAGCAGCTACCAACAGATCATGTTGGAGAAACCTTATTAAAAGTTATATTCTATAAATAACCTTGAGAGTAGCAGTGAAGACATATTTTTGATAATACATATATATGTAACTCTGTACTAATATGTTTCATTTAATTGTTGAATCATACACAGATTATTCTGTATTTGTGGAGCAGGAGCTTTGGACCACTTTTGCTTTGAGAAAGCAATAATATATGGCCCAAAGTAGATAGAATCATGATTATTTAAAACTCTAAAAACCATTGGTAAATGTAAAAAATGTAAACTGAGCTGAGATCTAGGGATGTTGGACTTCATTTCCAGATCAACTGCACTGAAGAATTCTTTCCTGTCTATTGTGTGAGTCTGAACAAGTGGCTTTTTTTTTTTTTCTTAACTTTCCTTGAGTAGTGCACAACACCATAAAATCTGGTAGAATGGGTTTCTTTTGGTGTAACCCTCACCCCATATTGAAGAGGATGTGAAGGAGATGGCTTCTCATGCAGGATTTGGCCGGCATTCTCTAGAAGTGTCCCAGGAGTGCTGTGGGTTGGCAGGATGACAGGAACCCCACAAGGCCAACTTCTGCCTGGACTTTGGCCTGAAGAGCAAGTGGGAGCCAGCAAAACTGTCTGCCTCTCCACATGCTGCAGCGCTCTTCTGCCTGGCACCAAGGCTGTCACACACCAGAGGGCAAGTGGAGAGAAGGACATTGTGGCTTCCATGCTGCCTAACAACCTACCAAGTGTGTTCGACTCCCCATCCTTTCCTGTTCCCTCTGGTGGGAGTATGCATGGTTCTTGTTCACTTTCCTTTTTTCTTTGTTTTTTCAAAAGAATCCATTTTTTTAAAATACCTTTCTTCTATTAGTCAAAATGCAGCTAAAATAGAAGGAAATTGATTGCTAGTGTACTATTTTAAAAACTTACAATAGAAATTTTGAAGTGTTATTTCTGCCCATATTCTTAATGTTTTCCAATGATGTAACCATGATGTTTAGCCATTATCATATTAAAGCCTATTTTGAGTGTTAAAAGTTATTGTTAGGATACCCTGCTAATAACTTGAAGTCATCAGGCTAGGATATATAAAGAATAGATGTTTTAATTCATGTTTTAAATGTTAAACATTGTGAGTCTTTCATCATAATTCTCATCAATATCCTTCAGAAGTTAATAATTTAATGCTTTTAATAATCAGAAATTTTAATAAAGATTATTAAAAATGAATCATTTTACATCAAGTCCTTTTACTCTCTTTTACTTTTGGTATATTTTATAAATACATCAACATAAGGTGCTACTTAAAATTCTGTTCTAACTGGCTCCAACACCTATGGTTAGGGAAATTTAGAAAACAGTTCAGCCCAGTAAGAGATTCACACTACTACTTTGTCCTCAAATTTTGTTGTGGATGCAAAACCATTTTAAAGCTTATACTCACAAACAAATGATGTTTCCAGGGATTTTGGGAACATCTAAAGGCCAAGATCTTGGCACAGTATTACAGAGCAAACAAGGAGCTAAAGCTTAGCAGTGATCATGCTCAATGAAGACATCGTTGTCAGTACCTTCTAAAGGTCTGTTTGATTTGGATCAGCATGGATGATATTTTTAAAAGCCCCAGGAATAGCATAGTATGCTCACCTGGATATGGAAAGTAAACTAACAGAAATATATCTTGAAAGTTTTTTCCCCCTCTTCAGAAAATAAGAAATCTGGTAGCTCTTCAACAATGTAACATATATTTGGTAGAAATTGTTATGCACTGGAAAGATTAGTTTGTGTTATATTGGGGGTGGGTAGCAATGATTGCAAAGCAGATGGAGGTTCCAAAACTCTAAATGTGAAACCAGCAATTATTGGCCTATAAGTATAGTTCTTTGGCTCTTTTTTGAAGATTCAAAGTGTTATGGGCAAAAGTTATTTTTTTTGTCATATAGATATTATGATAATTTTTTAAAAGTTGAATTGATGAGGTTGAGAAGTTTTAAGATAAAAGTCAAGTATACAAATGCAAATAATTGGGCCATTACTCCTATCCCAGTGATCCAACTTCACAGAGCAACCAAATAATCTCAAGACATTTTATACCTAGTTGCAAAATGTGACAATAATGTTGTTAAATTAAGGTGCAATAAAAGAGAAAAACAAGCCAAAGTTAGGAGTTTTCATAAACTTAATTATTTGGAATTTGTTATGTCTACTGTAAGTCAAGTGGGGTGGCACACGCCTGTAACCCCAGCTAGTTGAAGGCTGAGGCAGGAGCATCCCAAGTTCAAGGCTATCCTGGCAACTTAGTGAGACCCTATCAAAATTAAAGAACAAGGGCTGGGAATGTAGCTCAGTAGCAGAGTGCCCCTGGATTCAAACCCCAGTATTAATTAATTAATTAATTAATTAATTGCTGGTGAAGTTGTATTAGTAGAAGAAAAAGAGAAAAGAAATAAATCTTATATATTAAGTTCATTATAAGTTACATATTATAAACTAATAAATAGAGATTGTGAATTATGTCCTGCTGTTAAAAGAAAACCACCATAATCATCTTCTATTTAGAAGTGTTAACTGAAAAGGAGTTGTTTTGTAATGTAACCTTTTAAAAAAGATATAAAGATATTTGAGATTTCTCTGAAATAGTCCCTTACATAGTTGAACCATTGGAAATATCCTTAATACTTGTGGTTATTTCTTATATGCAAAAAGTATATATGCTTAAAACCAAAATGCACACAGTGCTGGGGGAATGAGACACCAGGCCTCATTCTTGGTTGAATCACCCATTATCCCAGGACCATGAACATCATGTAGGTGTAAGGAATTCCCTGGGAAACCTTGGTATACTAAGACTTGAACCCCGAACTGCAATAGTGTACACATGGAGGATTTTGAGAAGAGGCTAAAAAATACAAGGACTAGAATCTTCTTATAGTGTCTTCCCTCAAATAGGTTTTGAAAGTGAAAGGCAAATATAATTGTGTTATTAGTAGTACTTTTAAACATAAATGTAAATAAATTAAGAACTCTTCAATTATTCTAGCAAAAACTACAGAAAATTTCAAAGGAATTGTTTAAAAGCAGAAGTGATCAATTCATCAAAAAACTAAGAGTACTTTGAGTAAAGAGTTAAAAGCCAGCCAAGCAGGTAAAAGGAATTAAAAAAAAAAGAAAGTTTGCTTACAGAATAATGAAAAGCTGAAGTTCAATTGTGCAGAGCATAAAATAGGTCAGTTCACTGGAGAGTACTTGTATTTAGCATCATATTTATTTAATATGTAATATTGTTTTGCCACATTTATAGGGTGTTTATTCAATCAATGGACTGGTATACAGCTATTATTCTTCCAGTGATCAAAATCGTCACCATTAACATATGCACTTACCTGTGTTCACCAGGAGGCAGTTCCTAATTATGCAGAATTGTGCCCACTAGAGTGAATGTCAAACTGTGGGTCACAAAGTTCATTTAACAAGAATTGACCAACTTTCCCTCCCTGCCACTTCTTCTTGTACATGGGATTGAACCCACGGGCACTATACCATTGAGCCACACCCTAGCCCTTTGGTTTTTAATTTTGAGACACTAAATTGCTAAGGGCCTCACTAAGTTGCTGAGGCTGGCCTTCAATTTGCCATCCTTCTGCTTCATATCCTTTCAAGTAGCTGGGATTACAGGCTACTAACCACTCCAGTATCTGGTCAAGTGGTGGTACCTGGCCTGACCAGCTTTTTCTTAATGAAACAGAATTTAAAATATTATAAAGCATCTGAGCTAAAACAAGGGTTAAGCATCATTTCATGAAACTGTTTCATTTCATGTAGGTGTATGCACATGTATTTACAGCAAATATGCTATATATGTGTGTGTATGTATGTAACTTTACATATACATTTAAAGTGTATGTACTGAATCGAAATGTACTCATTTTGGGACACAGTAAAAAATAAATTTGAGGGACTGGATTGTGGCTCAGCAGTAGAGCGATTGCCTAGCATGTGCAAGGCCCTGGGTTCGATCCTCAGCATCACATAAAAATAAATAAATAAAAATAAAGATATTGTGTCCAACTACAACTAAAACATATTTTTTAAAAAAGAAAAAATAAATAAAAATAAATTTGAAAGCCATTGGCTTAGGAAAACAATTTCAAAGGAGTTAGTAAGAGATCATCTAGTATTAGTTATCACAACTAATCTAATTTAATAAATGAAAATGAAAGCTATAGTAAATAAGTGGCTTATGTTATACACCAAGGTAGTGGTGGAACTGGAACTGGTATTTGAGCTTCTAGGGTTAGCCTGGTGTGCTTTCCCATGTCCATCACAGTTTGATGAAATCAGCGGCATCCCATCATCAATTCTGTGGAACACTGAAGTCCTCAAATAATCCAGCCACTTTTAAATTATGATAAACTTTTCTAGAGGTAAATGGTGTGTAACAACAAGAACTCGTGTCACAGGAAGTTGTTTAAAATGTTATATGCTGAACTTCTTTCTCCCCCTCTTCCAATCTTCCAGAATAGAATTTTTTCCCCTTTCCTTTTTAGATAGGGCCAATTGTTCCCCTGGCTTTTGACTGAGAATTTCCACTCCCATTCTGGATTTAGGAGTATATACTCAAATTAAAGGACTTTAGTGTGATAAGAAAACAGTCACTTTGAAATCCAGGAACTTATTAACCTAAGCACATTCCAGCTGAATCAGCTGTTGGAAGCTCCTTCTGAGAAAGGTTATGCCAGTTTATGTTATTTCTTTCCCTTCCTAATCCAGTTCAAAACACAGTCCTATTTCTGTTTTGCAGAAGAACATGTGCCACTCCATTGGAATGTTTTTGAGTTGGAAATTTCTGCCCTCCAGAAGATTAGAACGCCTCAAGTTGGTGCTCACCACTGTTCCATTCGGTTTAGCTACTTTATTTAAAACACAAAGGATCCAGTGGCAGAGATCTCTTTGAAGACCTAAGTGTTTGGTTTCCTAATTATGAACCAATTCTGTGTGTAGGTAATAATAATTCCTTCCCAGTTCGCCTCTTGAGTCCTATGTATAATTTCTAAAAAGATATAATACTAGTAATAATAATCACTATGATAACAATCTTAGTGACATTTGTCATCCATTGAATTGCTTTAGTTGTTTGAAATGACCTATTTTATTTTGTTTCATTTACTATCTTTGTGAGGCAAGAAAATTTGGTGTCTCATTGAAACAAACACCTCTCCCCACCCAAACTAGGCCTTTTGCACATTTGGTAAAAATATACAGATGGCTACTTCACTGTGTTAGCATTTAATAGTCAGCATGTAAGAGGACTTCTTTACATGTTCCCTGTTGAACACATAAATAGTTGATTTAAAGAGCTTCAAGCAGCCAGGTGTGGTGGTGCTCACCTGTAATCCCAGCAACTCAGGAAGTTTAGGCAGGAGGATCACAAGTTTGAGGTCAGTCTTAGCAACTTAGCAATACCATTTCAAAATAAAGAATAAAAAAAGCTGAGGACGTAGCTCAGTGGTAGAAAGCCCAGTACTGAAAAAAATGAATAAATAAATAAAAATAAAGACTCTAAACCTGTTGAATGCTACGAGTTAATTTGTACTGTGTAAAAGTATGAGTCTATGCAATAAATAAAGAGCTCTGTATCAAAGCAATCTTCTGAGATCTCATAATAATGGTGTTATATTGTCATGTGAAATGTGATCTGCTTAAAATTTTGGCAAATTAGAGATTCCACATATCTTTATATTAGAGTGCACCTGGATTGAATAAGTACCTCCACAAGCAACTGCTCTCACCCCTTCAGGCTCCCATAGCCACATTCAGTCACTCTGGCCCCTTCTCTGTAGAATGGGGATATGATAAATAGGCTTGCTTCATGGTGGGGCTATAAGGGTGAAACACTGATATTTATAAAGTGCTTCGAACAGTTCTAGTATACACCAGTTGTTCAGTACTGGCTCTTTTCATTAATATGTCAATTTAAAAGGTTCTTATTTACTTTGCATTTCTTAGTAAAATAAATCCTCAAAGTTTTCTCGTCCTTTGCATCTCATGTTTTAAAATGTCCTCGCTAAATGTGCATCTGGAAATTTAAAAAAAAAAATTTAATTTTTTACAATGATATTAATAAACAATGTGTTATTTAAATTATGTGGGTAACTGGCAAATATAAGAGAGTAATCAAAAAGCACTGAGTCAATGAAGAAATGAAATCAATTTCATCAGTAATGCAGACA